CCATCGACAAATAACCGGTGTGAATTTTCGGCCATTTTGAACTTTAACCGGCCGCCATTTTGAAACGGTTTGAGATATTGACTTCGGGTTTGCGCGAAAAGTTTTCTTTTTTTATGCTTTTTCGAACGAGCTATCACAAAGGGGGTCTTCCCATTTGAAAATTAAAAGTTGGGGTCCGTTGCCCCCCCCCCAAGGAGGCCTCCTTGAAAATTTTAGGGGGGCCAAAAAGTAGGTCCCTTTGACCTAGGAACATCCCCCAAGTTTCAAATCTTTACCTCAATTAAGTAAAAAGTTAGAGGGGGTGGAAGGGACTTTTGGATCACCCTGTATGTTTTGCCGCAATCACACGCTGAATGAGGGAAATGAATGTGGCCTGAATATGGATGTCATCGTTGCTGAATTTTGCGCGTCACGCGCAAAATTCAGCAACGATTATTAACATTCGGACTAATTTTGAATTTTTCTGAACTAACCGAGTAGATTTGATACACTTCTGGATGAAAATAATTCGAATCCACTAAATTTCAGACGTAAGGCGATGACTGTTGACTTCCACATTCAGCTGCTAAATTCAGCGTGTGATTGCGGCATGAGTAAAGCCTGGTTTCCAATGAACGCGAAGGCTTGCGGCAGCTGCAACGCAGAGTCCTGCATCAAGCTGCCGCGTCCAGCATTTTGGCCCGACACGTTGATCCGTTCCCAGTGACCGCGGCGAACGCAAGGCTCAACCAATCAGCGTTCAGTATCATTCCAAGATGGCAGCATCAACATAACCTAAAAATCTGTGTGCCGCGCTATAACCGCGATAACCTCCGACTTTGTAAGCCCGTTGCCCGTGAATATTTTTTATAAGCCCGTATAAGCGGTCACGGAAATTATTTTTGGATACGTCTGTAATTGCTGATAAGAAATTTTACGGTCTTTTATAAAAATCCTGCGAAATTTTACTCTGAAATGAATAGATTAATAAAGAAATTGGAGAAAAGGTCGCTGTTCCGAAAATTTTTAGCCGTGGCACTTTTTAAAACTAGTTTTTATTTGGCCTCAGAATTGTTTCAAAGTTGTTCTTTGGACTTGTCTGAAAGGAAATTTTACGTGTTTAAAAAAGAGTATGATACATTTCACTAAAATTAAACGTTCAAGAGATATGAATGAGAAAAAAGGCCGAAGATCGCGCGAAGTTTTTGCCGCGGCAATTTTTGAAACCCGTATTCTTGGTCTCAAAAATTTTTTTTAATCCATTTTATGTAATCGGCCAACAGGAAATTTTACGCTCTTTAAAATATGCCCTTTGACATTTTCCTCTGAAATGAACCGTTTAATAAAAAAACGATAAAAAAGGTCACTGGGCTATTGATTTTTGGCCGCGGTCGTTTTTTCAAAGCCCTTAATCTGTGTCGCGAATTTTTTCTTGACAAAATATTCGTAATAAAAAGATAGGAAATTTTACATGTTATAAAAAAGGTCAAATGATATTAGCCCCTTATATCAACCGTTGCGGAGGTATGTGTCATAAACAAATGCGTTCAGCGAAAATACAGTGCCTGGTCTTGGTCGCGAGGTTCATCTAACGACGCGTTAACGCTGCCGCTTGACGCAAAAGTTGAGAATTTTTCAACTTCTGCGTCAGCGTTGTTTTGGACCGCGGCGGAATTTCGATCGGCCAAAACCATCAGGCTACGGCTGTTCTATCGGTTGTCGGTAAGCTACCGAAACAGTTCCGTTAAGAAACAGTTACGATAAGAGCGCTCTTGCCGATAGCGATCAGAGTTTTCGGAGCTGGCGAAAATAAGATGTTGCCATTTGTACATCTATTTTACGCGCCGCCGCGCCAGGCAATCTGATAAACCTACACACAGGGCAACAATGCATTAAGTGCGAGCTCTCAAAACTCCGATAAGGCCGGCTGTTGTCGATATCATCGCCACTGTCGGTACTGCCGCCAGTTTCAATAAGAGACGATGTCGATAGTGTTCCGGCAAGAATTCGTTTGAACACCCCTGGGTGTGGCTCATCGTAACACTATTTTCCTTTCGGTCGATTCACAACCTCTAATTGATCGATCCTATTTTCCAATTGAGATAAGTAATTTCGTCTCGAATCGTTGCATGATACTTTTGTACTCTTCCATTTTCTCCAAACAAAGCTGTGCTAAATTCATAACTTCCGTCTACTTCGAGTGTATCCATTGTTTGTTCACGGTGTTAAAATCCTCTTCGGGATCTTGCAGTTGTCGGATCTGTTTGTTAGATACGAGATAATTCCCGTCGGGGTCTAGTAAGAAACCGTCACCTTTGGGACCTTGCTTCAAGTTGCGGTCATCTGGATACTGGTCATCTTCGAGCATGCCATCAATTGTACCCTCGCTGCTCTGCAGGCTCACATCCCTCATGAGCTGCCCGCACTCCCTTGCTAATATTGCTTATTTTGCACTTGTCCAACCCAAATTTCATGTGGATATCCCTGCTAATAGATTCTACCGTACCAAGCATCAAGTGCAGGTCTTCTTTTCGACTAGCGAACAGTTTCAGATCATCCGTGTACCACAAAGGCGATATACCGGAGTCTCTATCAAAACTATATCCCACTCGAAGACTATTGAGCACCCTTGTCAGCGGGCCTAGGGCTGGGCAGAACAAAAGTGGACTCAAAGAGTCAATTTGGAAGTTATCAAGAGTGGCGGTAGCCATCCCCGGTCAAGGAAAATGACGACCTACTAAAGTACCGATAGCAAAGGGGTGGCCGACACTGTTAGTCACACCTAACTCCCTCAATCTGAAAATTGATTCGATTCAGAATGGAATTCAGAGCAAACGGCGGCACGGATTCCACCAATCTTGGTGTCTATGCCGACATCATACAGGGTGTCCCAAAAGTCCCTTCCACCCCCTCTAANCTACTGCGCAACCTCCTCGACCACTGCGCATCCTCCCGCGCATAGCGGTAGCAGTACCGGAGCATTCTGTAAACTCACTCACTTTTATAACGTGATTTTAAAAAAAACCTGGGTCCTTTTTCCAAAATCTGATTACAGTGGGCTCATCTAGGGCCTATTACCTGTCGATTTACGCAAGAATCATGGAAATCGGCCCGGTAGAACGCTCAAACGAACTATGACAAAAAGTATAAATTTACATTGTTTAAATGGGAGAATTCGCAACTTTACCACGTAATATAAAAAAACCTGGGCCATATTTTGAAAATCTGAAAAAAGTTGGCTTATCTAGAGACAATTGCTCGTCGATAGCCGCAAAAATCATGAAAATCGGCCCGGTAGAACGCTGGAACTAAGCGTTACCAGTTTCGCAAAATTAGGAGGTCTTGGAGCTTATAATATAGATGGTTGCTTCTGGACCATTTTTCTAAAACTGGGTGCTCTCGGCACCAAATAGTACCTACTCATTAGCTTTCCGACGATTCCATTTCTTATGGTATTATTCCCTCACTGCGGGCATTTTTTGTCTGAATCCATCACAGATGGATATACACTGGGCAGGACTGTGCACATTAAGGGAAAACATTTACTGCCACTCACCATGGACTTTGCAATTAAAGTTTTCGTGATCATCGCTATCATCCTTGTTTCTTTCAAGGTTTTCAGCATCATATTGACAGTACAGGTAAAAATTTCTTTTTAATAAATTCATGATTTCGTCACTGGCTTTTCTAATTTCTTTGTACCTGCATGGACATGAACACACAAAATTAGTTCATAGAGGGATGATCAAGTATGAAAATCGTGCATCTCTGGAAGAAAGCATGAAACTTTCCGGATACATCATATTTACCTGTCATTATTTACCTTAGTAGCTACATATCAACGGTGCAAGTCGGCAATCACATAACTCGGTTTCCGACGTCGCAGACTTCCTGTCGTACTTTATTTTTTAAATGGAAAACTACTCAACGGCAATTCTTTAAAACTGTCATGATTTTTCTTCTCAATGCGAAGAAAATTCTGCAAAAACTTCAAGAAATAATGTCAATTTGCTCTCCTTTAAAAAAATGACGTAGAGGCGGAGATTTTCAGACACCGCAAACGAGTTATGTGATTGCCGCGACTTTCACCGTCGATATCAAGAGTGGCGGTAGCCACCCCCGGTCGAGGAAAATGACGTCCTACTAAAGTCCCGATAACAAACGGGTGGCCGACACTCTTAGTCACAGGCAACTCCCTTAATCTGAAAATAGATTCGATTTACAATGGAATTCAGAGCAAACGGCGGAACGGATTCCAACGATCTTGGTGTCTATGGACGCAGCTACGTTAGCCGGATGGCGTTTAAGGGTTTCATTAAGATCCATTGAGTTTTCAAAAACTTATAAGCACTTAATGACCCAAAACAAGGAAAATTTCACTTTCTACTTTGCCGGGAAATTTGAATTTCTAGAATGCAGGGTCCTGAGAAAGTCACTCAAACTCCGCGATAACGGTATACCTTAGACCCATAAAAGTGGGTACCTAAAGAATCGCCATGTTACCGTGTGTGCCGCTGTTGACTTTATTTTAACATTCCAAATGTTTTAGAAGAGAAATTACGTAAAAACGACTAAACTGACTGCCGACCTCCCCGTCAAGACCACCTTTCACAGCAGATTTCTCGCTTACACGTTGGCCGATTCCAGTGAAACCTACAAAGGATCAAGGTTGAGGATATGAGGATTTCATTTCTACCACATTTAATAGGGCTTCATCACACGGATAATTCAGCATCGGCTAATATCTTTCACAATTTTAGCTGTAATCTTTTGAATTTAGAGAAAAACCGGTAGTGGTTCAATCAACAATGCTATTGGTTGATTCCGTTCAGTTCATTCAGCCAGTTCAGCTCGAGTTTCGGGAACGAAATTCCCCTGGTCGGTCCGTCGGTACGGTCGTTACCAGCCTCCAACTAGTTGTGAATAGATTTTCCTAATTTGGATAAGAGTTTAATTCTTTGTAGATGCTAACTACTATATTTACATACTCATATTATTACGTCTCACGTGTTCTACTGGAGCCCGATATACTATTACCTTAGTTTCTCTTAAAATGTTCAAGTGATACCTTTATTTTATTGAACGAATATGCGACAAATTTTAAAGTGAGGTTATGTCGTCATGTTTATGTCAGTACCTGACCGAAGCGATAGATGTAATTCCTATAAATTACATCAACGGAATTACACCAAAATTGTGCCAAACTCTCCAAAGGAAGCAGCATTTATATCACAGAATGTATTCTCACTACTAAAGTCTAAAAATTACTGGAATATGAGCCTCGGCCTTCACTTGCGCATGTCACTGAACTTCGACCAAAATTTATTCGCTCTATATCTTGCCATCAACCTATGTGCTCTGGAGTGATTATGCTTCTCTGAAGTGTATGTTATTTACATTAAGTACATGTTTCCTTCATGATTTATCTTGGAATCCTCCTATCTCTTCTACCGTTCTTGTTACGCGTGCCTTGCGTACCTGAGTATGTGAGGCACAATTCCATCCCTTTTCGGAACAGTTCAATCATAGGTCAACTTAATGTCACATAATCAAAGGTCTTTGACTGTGAGCATTTGCTCAAATTGGTTTCTTCTGAGTCTCTTTGATTTTGCGTCAGGAGTTGTTAGAAACTTCATTTTGCCCGACAACGTATAACAAGGTCTTTAATGAAAGGTATGTACCCGTTCTATTCTCATAATTTCATAAGTTGATGATAAAAATACAATGAAGGCTTCATTTTCTTGCATAAATTGCTGTGTGAAATGGGTGCGTCCATTCCTCCTCTATTTAAAAGAGTAACAGAATGTATCGCTCATCTGTTTAGAGGACTTCAGTATTAAGATACGTAGGTACGTGTTCCTGCTTAGTTCCATTGGAATAAGTGTGATCGTGTTAATCAAGGCTAAATACAATTAGACCCCATGGTATCAATGTAATCATAAATGCCTCTCCACTCTTACCAACTAGGTGCAGCATATCCTCCGATCAAGAGATGGAGATTGCCGTCTCAATAGGTACGAGGGTGAGCCTACGAACCCAGGTATGGTGACCGTAAGTACCGCTTTGGCCTTTCACATTTAGATGAGCCTTTTTTTCTGATGAACTCATGCCAATACTTAGATCTCCAGACTTATTTACTGCATCAAGAACACATAAGATATTAAATCAAGTGGGTCAAGTCAGTTGCCACTCTTTATACCACGTGCAGGTACCAACATAATTTTTTGTCATTGGGTGGACAAAGGGCACTAGCTGCATTGCAGCGATTCATAGATTCAATTGTTCCCAACCGATCCGTGATTTGGCGTCACTCCTTTGGATAAAAAGATCACGATATTTCCATTATTATTAATTAAAAACATCATTTAATTTGACAACAGTTCTGTGTGCGTTTCCCACTGTCTGAAGTTCAGTAAAAATAAGGACTCAAGTGTGGTGGCCACATTCTTCATGATGCAGTTACTTCTCAACCAATAAACACCTGCAGATTCGTTTCAGAATCAGCATTGGTGCGCTCTCTCGCGGCTAACGCCGAAACCCTAGTTTTCACTTTCACTTTTCTCCACCAGTAGCGCTCTACTTTCGTTCCGGTTCTCCGATTCGCTCTGAACACTCTATGCTCTGAACTTCCCAAATCCTAGACCCAACTCCGGGAGCCACCGAATGCTTCGGTTTTGCTAGCTCTTCGTACAGCCAGACCTTTAGGTACTTATTCACCCAAAAACGACCTGATATAAACTACAAAATCCCTCAAAAACATTTTTCGGGCAAAAAATCCGGTCGAGGAAATTGACGTGTCACTTCCTTTTAATCAAGTATAAGATAGGCAAAAACCTTTGATGAATTCCCAAGATCTACTAAGACTAATAATCATCAAAAAGTTCCAAAAAAAAATAAATCCCTTCCTAAAAATAAATAAAAACCGATTTTGAGATAAATCCCTCGAATGAACTTGAAATCACAAAATCGGTCGAGGATGTCAACTGAAATTTTTCCCCCTTTAATTATGAAACAAGCGTGACTCGCTTGTACCTTTTCATACACGAGTCGCACGAATTCATCTCTTCTTCTCTCCTCTCCTTCCGTCCATGGACAGAGGTCCAAAATTTTTCGGATTTACTGACGCGACTGGCTGCGGCTCGGTGCGTAAACATGGGTGGATTATACTAAGATTACACATAAGTCAGAGAGAAACACGTACAACCTGTCGACTTAAGTGCGGCTCATTCCGTGAAGGGACTCAACTCCTCCACTATAACAATTCCACCAATAATTTTGCGATTCAGAAATCCTCTCACTTGTCCGGACCTAACGTGTCTGTCGAAACGTCATCAAATGGTACAGATGTATTTTATACTTAACTGATAGAGTATAAGAAAAAATATTACTTACAACCTACCTACCGTCCAAAGCAAATGGTAAGCTCCCTTAAAAAAAAATCCATGTTTCAGATGAATCATGTTCCGAAAAAGTCTAACATGTGGTTATGGAAAAATGGATCGACTGGTGAAATTGCAACCGACTTGAAGCCGACATCAGGGATGATACGAAGGCACCGATTCACTGAGAGCACCGAGCCGCAGCCGGTCGCGTCAGTAAATCCGAAAAATTTTGGACCTCTGTCCATGGACGGGAGGAGAGGAGAGAAGAAGAGATGAATTCGTGCGGCTCGTGAATGAAAAGGTACAAGCGAGTCACGCTTGTTTCATAATTAAAGGGGGAAAAATTTCAGTTGACATCCTTGACCGATTTTTCCATAACCACATGTTAGACTTTTTCGAAACATGATTCATCTGAAACATGGATTTTTTTTTAAGGGAGCTTACCATTTGCTTTGGACGGTAGGTAGGTTGTAAGTAATATTTTTTCTTATACTCTATCAGTTAAGTATAAAATACATCTGTACCATTTGATGACGTTTCGACAGACACGTTAGGTCCGGACAAGTGAGAGGATTTCTGAATCGCAAAATTATTGGTGGAATTGTTATAGTGGAGGAGTTGAGTCCCTTCACGGAATGAGCCGCACTTAAGTCGACAGGTTGTACGTGTTTCTCTCTGACTTATGTGTAATCTTACAAGGGGAGCTTTCCAAGTGTAACCGGAATTTCGAGTTGGAATTTTGCATGAAGATACTAGAGATGATTTTAGGGATGCCGTATTTTTTCGTTTTTTCGAATGGGGTCGGGAAAGCCCTCAAAAAAAGAGCTAAAGATGCGGAAAAAACGCGTGCGCTAGCGGCACAAGGTAAACATAGGTGATAGAGGCTCTCCATCCTTATCAGTTCCGCATGGCCAAACGGTAGCGTGCTCGCCTCGCAGGCGGGAGG